CACGTTCCAATCTGTGATTCCCAGCCAGGCGGTGGCCCGTTTTCACAGACCACACTCCATCCTGACTGCGCTCACCCATGAGTCTCTGTCTTTGGTTCTGAGTCCTAAGGTTAGGTGCCTTTTTTGGGTATGACTTCAAGAATGGCCCTATGGTCCCAAGGGCTCCCTTGTCTTCTTTTCTTAGATGGATGAGATAGGTCGCATCCTCTGTAACTTGTGCAACGTGGTCCCTGGAGGGGTGGTCTGTTTCTTCCCCTCCTATGAGTACCAACGCCAAGTCCATGCCCACTGGGACAAGAGTGGCCTGCTAGCCCGCCTGGCTGTTAGGAAAAAGGTGAGTGACCCCTCAGCTGGACCTTCCATTTGGGACACTGGCACTGAGTTCCTCCTCAGATTTCTCATGCACATCAAACCAGTTGGGCCTCATGTATGGGGGCTTCTCCTAGTTCCTTACCCCAGTGGTCCCCAACCTCTTTGGTACCAGGGACTAGTGCTCCTATGAGATTCTAATGCCTGATGATCTGAGGTAGAGCTGAGAGGTGATGCTAGTGTTGGGGAGTGGCTGTGAACACAGATGCAGCTTCACTTGCTTACCTGCCACTCACCTCCTGCTGTGTGGCCTGGTTCCCAACAGGCCATGACTTGTACTGGTCCCTGGCCTGGGAGTTGGGGACCCCTGCCTTATCCCACCACTTCTAATCCCTGATTACTACCTGGAAGATTTCCCCAAGCCCCTCGGGTTCTTGAGTCCCCAAGGTGGCAAACATAAGGCTTAGAGCAGACCTGTGACCCAGGCATCCTGCAACCCTGTTCTGGAAGACATTATCTGTTTACTTTTAGATATTTCAGGAACCGAAGAGAGCAAACCAGGTGGAGCAGGTGCTGATGGAGTATTCCAGGTGCATTAAGGTGAGAGGCTTTGGGTCCAGAGATCATATGGGGTTGGCAGCTGAAAAACGTTTCGGATGGTATCCCAACTTTGGGTGTTTCTCACAGTGCTGTGCCCAGGTGGGAGGCATGGTGACAGGGGCCCTGCTGCTCTCAGTGGTCGGAGGAAAGATGAGTGAAGGCATCAACTTCTCTGACGACCTTGGCCGGTACGTAGTGGGCTTCTCATTTCCTGGGGCTGGTACCCACCCGCCTCTCACTTTAAGCAGCTGGGCCCCACCAGCAGTCTGCCATCTGAGTCTGCACCTGGGCTGACTGTGCAAGTCAATCAGCTGTGAGGGGAAGTGACTTGGCAACACTGGATGTGGCCCTTTGAGATCAGGTGGAAAATTAGGCAGACCTTAATTTTATCAGGACTTGATTCCTTGGCCTCAATTAGATCTCTTAGCCAAAACACCCCTTTCCAGGTGGTAGGTATAGGATGGGGAGGGAGAGGTAGAACCACTGAGCACAGCTTGAGGGCTGTAGGAGAGAGAGACGAAGCAGTTGATGACATGTGGGCGAGGACCGGGCCCTTTGTTCTGGGCCTTGAGGACCCCGCATGCCGTTGTCTTGTGCACCTCCATCCTCCCTAGGTGTGTGGTTATGGTGGGCATGCCCTACCCCAACATCGGGTCCCCAGAGCTCCAAGAGAAGATGGCATACCTGGATCAGACCCTTGTGAGTTACTCCTGTTCCAGAGGGTGAGAGGGCATTGGGGAGCTCCATAGCCTGCAGGGCTGATACACACTGTGACTTCCCCTCTGCCCCTTGATGTGAGCCATTTCCTATTTGCTCTAGAGGGATGGGAGCATTCTCTACACCCTCTTGAGCTTCTCATGACATCATCCATTATATCAGTTGCTGGCATTTGTGCCCATGAAGCCGACTGGTCTCGTCAAATCCTGGCAATGTCATTTTCTTAGAACACAAGGCTGGAGGCATGAAACATTTCTGATAGGTCATCTCTTGCCCTTCCCAGCCCCGAACCCCAGGTCAAGCTCCCCCAGGGAAGGCTTTGGTGGAGAATCTGTGTATGAAGGCTGTCAACCAATCTATAGGTAAGCCTGGGACTGTGTCTGACTATCAGGATGAATAGTTGGGGATGGATGAAGAGTGAGGTGACAGGAAGGGATTTTCCTTGCCACCTTTCCAGTCTGAGGGCTGAGGAAGGGGAGGGAACACAGTAGAAAAGTACTGTCAGAGAGATGGGTTTAATCAGAGCACCAACCTCTGCTCCCACCCAGGCAGGGCCATCAGGCACCAGAAGGATTTTGCCAGCATAGTGCTCTTGGACCAGCGGTATGCCCGTCCACCAATCCTAGCGAAGCTGCCAGCCTGGATCCGAGACCGTGTAGAAGTCAAAGCCACCTTTGGCCCCGCCTTTGCTACTTTACGGAAGGTCAGTCCTTTCTTTCTCTTTCCCCAAAAGGCCCCCACCCCCATCTAGTGTCTCACTGTCTTTTCCTGTCTCCCCAGTTTCATCACAAGAAGTCTGGCCATTCCTGAGGGACGGCTGCACCCCTGTCTGGAACAGCCCCTTTCTGGAATTGGGCTGCCAGGACCCAGGAATAGGTGGAAGAGCCAAGAGGAGAAAATTGGGTTAATCCTGACAGTGGGTCTGCACCATACTTGGGCCCATCCCAGGGCAGTTCTCCCTAAAAGCGAATCTTTCTTCCTGTTCACCATGGCCCAGTTGAGCCCCCTGCCCTGTTTCCTGGCCATCCTTTGTGGGCAGCTGTGGAAGCTGCAGTATCTGTCCTTGCTCATTTCTCAGCATCTACTTTCTTAGAGGTAAGATGGAGCAGGCCTGTCCTGCCTCTCCCATTTCTCACTAAATTCAGCCTTTCTAAATCTTTACCTTTCCTTGATATTAAGAACATTCCCCATTTCTAGCCCTGTAGGGTCTGGGCTCTTCTGCCCTGGCGCTTCTGGTCACTTCAGCCAACTGCTGTCTTTAAGAACTGGGAGAAAAGCCCAGCTTCCCACTCCCCACTCCCCTGCCTGCTGGCCTCACTTCTTTACTTCAGAGCTGGTCCCTAACCTATTCCACAGCCCTCCACAGCATTCTGATCTCCCTGGCTTGGCTCCAGGTCCTCCTCCTAGTCAGTGGCAACTCTCTCCCTCTCAGCCACTTGAGCAAACTCCAAGACACCTCTTCCCCTGACATTAGCAATTATGCCAAGGGCCATTAGGCTCTCAGCAAGACTATTTTTAGACACCCTGTGTCTGTCACTGAGACATTTTTTCCTGTGTGAAAACATCCCTCCCTCCATCTGCAACAGCTACCCCTGTTGACTGTACCTCTCCTCCTCCTGACCCCAGAGAAAGGAGCCGTGGTCCACTCTGCCCCATTGCCTGAGACCAGTGGGAACAGGACAGGCCCTGGCTTGGAGACGTTTGCATTCTGTATAGCTATAGTTTCTTAATTAAAAGTGCACTGTCGGTTTATGCTCAGTTCTGCATTATACTTCTTTATTGATTTGTGTACTGTTGTATCCCAGAGTCTCTTAGGGAAGAAAAGGGCACGCTGGTGAAGGAGGTGCATAGAGCACAGGCAGAACGAGGGCCTCCTCCCACCACGCTCAGAAGCCAGCCTCCCTACTCCTTGAAGATGGTCCAGGCAGACTTGGGACAGCCCTCCATGATCCCCATTCCTCCAAGGGCAGCAGCGGTTGAGAGACCTGCAGGCCAGGGAGCCCATCCCAGCTATTTCCATGTGAGGGTGAGAGCCTCAGCTTGGGTTTTGGGGAGGAAGGAGTGGCTGAGCCCCTAGGATTCCCAGTCATCCTCATCCTCCTCCCCAGGTGGCTGCTGTGGGGGAGGCAGAGGCGGAATAGAGTCTGACATTCGGGCGAAGGCTCCTCCTGGCCCCTCGCTGGCCCCCGTCCCAGGTCCTTTCCCGGAGATTCCTGGGAGGGAAAAGGTAGAGGATGAGTGGGGGTGGTTTGGGACACTAGTTCACCCAGACCCTAGAGACTTAGAAACAGGAAGAAAAAGGCAGAATGTTCATGATGCAAAACACCCCAACTCCCCAGCCCTGGGAAGGCAGCAGTGTGCTGCCTCCTACCTTTGCGCCTCATGACCAGCTTGTTAAAGAGATCTGACATCAGGTCCCCGCCTTGGCCTGTGGCTCTCACTGCAACAAGAAAGCCATGGTGAGGGAGGAGGAAGGGACCAACTATGAGACCAGCTCCTGGGTGACATCCTCAGATTTCAGCCACGTGTCTTCTTTATTTACTATTGACACACCCCAGCCCTCTCCATAGCCACCAGGTCACCACCAGCTCTTGGAGTGTCAATCTATCAGTGGATCCAGCACTGAGCACTGATAAGAACAGTTAACATTTGAGTAACATTGTCAGCAGCCACCCTATGAAACAAAGGGGCACTTATGAGCAGCCCCACTGTATGGATGAGGAAACCAGCTCAGAGAGGTTAGTTTGCCTGGGGTCACAGTGAAAAGCTCAAAAGCAGAGCTGGGATTCAAACTCAGGACTGTTCATGTCCAGGCACTGTTGCTTTATGCCCAGGTATTGTATTTTTGCTAGCATTTGGGAGTCACAGAAGATACAATCTGAAGCCCTGAGAGACTTGGAGAAGCAGGACTGAGCTACCCCGCTAGGTCTCTGTTTCTAAAATATCTTAGGTGCCAACCATTTCCTCAGACAACTGGTGGAGTATGAGAAGATCTCCCTTGTAGTTTGAGCTGGAGGAGGCTCTACCAGTTCTGAGAGGAAAGTTCCAATAAGCAGGCTTCAAAACCTGGCGGAACTCACCACCCAGGGCTTCCAGCAAACACCATATAGAAAGCAGGGGGCTGGCCTTCAGACACTTGTGGGGTGGCAAGCAGCACCCTCTTGGAGTCTGGTGGTAGTTAGAAGAGTGGCCTTTTTCTCAGAGCCCTTGACTGGAGTGGCTGTAGGGGCCCCTCACCTTGCTCCTGCTCCTTCTGTTTCTTCTTCTCAAGCTTGCGTTCCTTGACACTGCGGAGCTTGGCCTTGCCGATGCCCCCAGCCTGGCGGATGGACTCGAGCAGAGTGGCCCGGCCACTGGAGGGGTCAACCACCTCCTTGGGCGCTCCCTGGACTGGAGCTGGAGGTGGGGAAAGGTGCAGGGAAAGATGGCTGCTCAGGCAAGGCTAGGCTGTGGGACAGTCCTACTGAGCCTAAGGTTCTGGGGGTCCAGAGGAGCCCTTGGCAGCCCAGCTGCGAGGAGGGGCTAGTCCTGAAGAGGAAGCCAGCTGGGGAAGCCAGGCCCTCGGAGACTATATGGAGCCTGGATGCTAACTGTGGCTGTCTGAGCTCAGGAAATCATGTATTGAGGCACCCCTGGGCCCTGTCTAGCCCCACTCAGTTTAGGTGCCACTCTGCAAACATGGACCCTGGGAATTACTGATGTGCTGAGTATTGACATGTGACATATGAGCCAACAAGGAATTTTTGTGCCACTTCTTGGATGCTGAAGATGATTGGGAGATATAATATTAAAACCGAAATTCTGCAATTTAAGGGACACAAGAATATTTTGTTGCTGTAATTTTCAATTATTTTTCCATTAGTTTAAGTGGGAATGGGAGACCCACAGCCCCACCTATCTAGGCTCCCTCTAACTTGGAGGATAGAATTCCCAGGGATCTATACACAGTTTGAAAACCACTGTTTTATGAACCCAATGGAACAAGATTCTAATTAGAACTATTCTGAAAACCTAGGATTTATGACCACTAAACAAAACTATAGAAAATCTTTCAGAGATCCAGAAATTAGAGGTGCCCTTGAAGAGAGTACCCCACCCCCACACAGTCACCCACATGCCCTGGTGCTGCTCCTACCTGAAGGAGACACATTGCTGTCATCTTCCTTGGTGCCTTGACCTAGAGAGGCTGCAGTCTGGGGTGGGGGTGGGGGAGTGCTGAGCAGTACTGCTGGAGCTGGGGGAGGTGGAGGTGGGGGTGGAGGTGGTGGGGGTGCTGTTAGCACCCCATCTTCTAGGTCTGAAACAGAAGTGTGAGACAGTGTGAGGTGGCTGGGAAGAAAGTAGCCCAACTCCCATTCCTGGCTCTCACTCACTTTGCTTGAAAGGCTCAGCCACCTCTGTGTGGAAGGTGGGCAGCTCTGGAATGGTGCCAGGGGCAGAGGGGGCAATGCCGGGACCCAGGTCAGCACTGTACATGAGGTCGTCGGCGATGCCTGGCAGGTCTGGCAGGTAGGACGGCACATCGATCTCAGGCACTTGGCCCAAGTCGGGCACATAGAAGTAGTTCTCTGGCATCTGCAGGATTAGCAGGGATACATGAGTTGGGGAGCCTCAGGGGTCATGGGCCCTGCAGTTTGACCCTGAGGCAGTCAGAGCCCTATCCCTTCATTTACCTGTACCCCCTACCCACCCAAACATCATCTCTACCTGTTGTTCCAGCTGCTCTCTTTTGCTGATGGACAAAGGGGCATCAAATAGCTTCTCCTCTGTCTCTGCCCCCAGCATTACATGGGTCTTTGTTACAGCACCAGCAAGGGGATCCAGGAAGACATACTTTTTATACCTGCAGAGGTAGGGTGGAGGTCAGACAATCTATCTTCTGAGGCCCATGGACCTGACTCACCTTTCCCACTTCACCAGGGGACACAATAAGTTTATATTGTGGATTCCCAGGCCTTAAAAGGCAAACCAAATTGGTCCTGGCTCCCCAGGCTGCAGACTTCTGCTGCACCTGAGTCTGATGCCCCCCGGTTCCCTCACTAAGCCAGACAGGCCTCCCAACACCCTTGTGCAGCCCCACTTCTGGCCATACAGGTTCTCAGTGGTGTTGAAGAGCAGCAAGGAGCTGACGGAACTGATATTGCTGGGAAGACCCCCGAGCCCCTCCTCAGCCTCATCCTCAGGCTCTGGCTTGGTGTTCACACACACAGGGAAGTATTTCAGCTTCTCCTGGAAAGTGGAATGTGACAGAGGGACGGTGAGTGTCAGGGCCAGACCAGTGACCTCCACCCCGACCCAGTCAGAAATTTCTTGGGTGACAGAACCCCATGGTGGGCCCCTAGTTCCTCCCCCACATCCAGGACCACCACTGGTCACCCTGTGCAAGTGTGTGAGCTGTGTGTGCACATTAGACCTGCAGGGCCCGCTCATCCAGGGGGCGGTGCTTGCTCTGGATCCTGTGGCGGGGGCGTCTCTGCAGGCCAGAGTCCTGAGCACCTGTGAAGATGGAACTGTACTCCTGCAGGCGCTCTGGAGCTGGGTACTTGGCACTGGAGAACACCTGTGGACACAGGCAGGCTGAGATCACTCCTTCAGAGACCCCAAGAAGCTCCAGAGAGCCTAGGGTTCAGGTGGGGGGACTCTGAGGAGGGAAGCTTGAGGTGTGGCTGGACAGCGGAGGCAGGGACCTGGGCAACTGCAGAGGCACAGGAATATGGTAGGGAAGGGAATTTCTGCAACTGCCCACCAGTCACAGGGACATATGGGCTACCTTGATAGCCTTCTTGCTGCCCTTGATCTTCTCAATCTTGGCCTGGGCCAAGGAGACCCTCTCCCCAATGGCCTGCAGCTGGCTCCGGCTCAGCTCTACTCGCTGGGAAATTCTGCCACAGAAAAAATTACAGGGGTTGGAGGCTGTTCCCCAACCCCCTACAGCCTCCTGCACAGCTCCTTCATTTAACAGCAAACCCTCAAAGCCAAGGGCTTAGGCAAGGGCTCTTAAAAAAGTGTTACCTGCTTGTCAGAGCCAATCTTGGAACTGCCCAGGTGACCTCTCCAAGCATTATCCAACCTGAAGGGTCTAGTAATGTACTCTATTAAGTTCCTTGGAGCTCTGGGTAGGGATAGATAATCACCTTGGCCCCAAGCTGGTGCCTGGACATGCCACCTAAAGGGACATGGTACCTGCCTCTGGGTATTTACAGCTTCAAGAGGGGGCAAGGAGAGAGAATCGTCATGACTGACATTGACATAATTCACCTATTTATAGAAGAGGAAAGCAGAGTTCAACAAAGCTGAGTGACAGGGAAGACTGAACCTAAATTCAAGTCCTAGACCTGTTCAGGAGGAACTGCTCCAACACATGATAAACGGCTCATGTACATAAATCCAAGTGCTGACCCTGGTCCTCATGATTGTGGTCCGGCTGCTCATGGGCTTGGAGCCCTCCCCCCATCAGGATCAGTCAGCTCCAGCAACACCAGATGCCCTGTTTTTCCCTGAACATGCCAAACTCTCTTGTCCATGGCCTTTTGCATCAAATGGAATGCTATCCCCGAGATATCAACATGGCTGGATCCCTCACACTGAGCCCCCTCCTTGATGAAGCTTTGCCAGCCATGGAATCTGAAAATGCACCTGTCACTTTCCAACTCCCACCTGGCTTTACTCTTACACAGCACCACTTGACACTACATCTTTCTTGCTCACATGTGCTCCAAAGGACTGAGGACTCTGCTTTGTTCCCTGTGTATCCCCAGTACCTAGAACAGTGCCTGGCACTTGTATGGACCCCTCTGTGGTTACTAAATGACTAACACCCATGTGCCCTAAATGTAAAATGTAAATGCACATGAGCCTCACTTATGCTGCCCCCACATTATTCAGCAACAGCAAGGGTCTTCTCACAGCAGCGTTAACTCTGGCTCACACGTGCCAGTCCATCCTCCTCCCAAATGCTCCCCGTCCAAGAACACCAAACCCTGCCCATGACCACCACGTTCCACATTCAGAGTGGTCACATCTCCGTATCTGGCAGGAGTGAGCCCACAAACGAGGCATGAGAAACGAAGTAGAGGTGCAAGTTGAGTACCTGGGGAAAGGTGGGAGGATAGGGCAGAAGGCAGAGGGAGCCACTGTCTCTGGGGTTGGAGACTGCAAGGTCAGGGGACTCAGATTTCTCTAAAGGTTGAAATGAACAGTCAAGACACTAGCCCAGCCTTCCTAAACCACCCCACCAATGCTAGCTAGAAGGTTTGGGCTCCCAGAGAACCCACCCCACCGGCCAATTTCACAACCCAGGGGTCTCCATCCCGATGAAGTCTCCCTGATTACTCCTGGCGCCTCATGTGCCAGAGGTGGGGGCTGGGGTACAAGAGGACATCCAAAACAGTTTAGTTTTCCAAGAAAGACTAATCGAAAAAATGCAGAGACAGAACAAGAGGGCACAGTTTCCTTCCAATGAGAGAATGCAGAACCATCCATCTTCTTCCAGCGTGAGCTCCATCTTTTCCGGCAGAGAGAAATGTCTTCACTGGGAAGGGGTACTCAAGCACAAGCGCTTCCTTCAGTTCCCTACTGCCACTCTGGTCCTGGGTGCCGAAGACCTCAGTGGTTACATAACCACTCCACTTGAAGTTGATAGAGAGGGAGGGACATCAGAACTGAAGGTCCATCAGACAAAGGTCCATCTGTTCTGGCTCTTCCATTAAGGAGAGGAGGGCTGATTTCTCAAAATTATAAATGTCAAGCTTAATGATGAGCCCTGGCAAACTTCCAGAATGGATTATTAAGTAGAGGGTCTGTAAGTACTTGGAAAAGGAAGAGGCATGTCCTAGGGGCCAGCACTGTTCTAAATTCACAGCATTTCTTTTTCTGACAGGATTATTAGACTGGTGTATCAGGGGAAAACCTTAAACACAGTGCATCTTGAGTCAGCAAGGATTTTGACGGCTTCTCACAAAATCCTGCAGATAAGATGGAGCTATGGGGGTTGGAGGAGAGTACATTTAGGGAAAATCAGAGCCAGATGTACAACAGCACCAGAAGGGTACTGCTGATGAATGGATTGATATCAGCCTTGCATGAAGGTCTCTAGCAGGGCCCTGTCCAGCTCATTCAACACTTGATCATTAAACTGGGGAAATCAATTGGGGGAGGGTCAAAGTGGTCTGCATGACGAAATCAAGACTCAAATAATCCTGAGAGGCCAGAAGGATGGACTACAAGCAACAAGATGAAATTGACAAGGAATGAATGTGAAGCCTAGGATTTAGGTTAAAAAGTCAAGTGCACAAATACAGAAGATGGAAGTTTAGTTGTAGTTCAGGTGAAGAAAGACCTGAGGTTTTGGTTAACTAACTATAAGCTCAGTATGAGCTAAAAGTATGTAAAGCAGCTTAAAAAGGAAATGCGATCGTAGGGCACACAGCTCCTGGTCCCTCTCCTACCTTCTTTCAATAAACAGGGAGCACTCGCTCTCTTAGAGGCACTACAGAGAAAACAGCCCCGAAAGGAGGAGCTAATCTACACCAGGCACCAGTCTCATCCACAGCTGTGTCCCCTTTAAACTGGATCCACAGTCTAAGAGGACTCTAAATTCCCTTCTTAACTATTCCCTTATTCTGCTCTATCTCTAGCATCTGGGACAGTGCCTGACATATAACAAATATTGGCTGAATAAAAAGTGACAAGTTAATGAACATCCAAAGGAGGGTAATGAGGATGGTGATGAATGAGAAACTCGTGCCGTACAAAGGTAACTGAAGGATGTCTGGCTACAAATGAGATGACTTAGAGAATATAATTCCCTTCAAATATCAAAAATATCACAAGTACTGTCAAGTGGAAAAGTAATTAGGCTTATTCTCTGTCACCCCAGAGGGCTGCATTAGGACCAGTGGGTGGAGTTATAAGGAAGCAGATCTTGGTTCTGCATAAGAACTTTCTAGTAAACAGCTGCATGACTTTGCAAAGCAATCAGATTGCAAAGCAATCAGATTGCAGCGGGAATGCTCCAAGGGGAATTCCTATGTGGGGCCGGGGAATGGAAGACATGACTTCCAAGTTTCTTTTCTTATCAAGTCTAAGTAAGGGCTTGTTTGTTAACAAATTTCCAGATACTCTAATCTCATAGTTATGATGCCAGGAGTGTACAGATCACAGATGAGAAAGAGCCTTCAGTTTGTATGCCACCTCTAGTGACTGGCAGTGATGGTCTAGAAGGCTGTGTTAGGAAGGACTGTCAGGCCACACTGGGCCTGGGACTGAGCGCAATGACTAATTAGCAGCAGCCACCCTGGTAGCAAAGGGCAATGTGTTTGCCATCCCTGATCTCGACCCGCACCCCTCCGCCCCGGCTTGAGAGGCTGCTTCAAAGTAAATCAGTTTCCAAGCTCATCACTGAAGCCATGTCTCTATAACATGTTTGCCAGGCACCAGCAGAGGAAGGGCTGCCTCCGTCAGCATCAGAGACAGAACAGGTTCACTCAGCTTGCTCAGAGCCTGGGACAGAAATGAATAACACACATCTGCTCTCAAGGAGATTCCGGTTTACTGGAGAGATAAATAACTACTGTCCCATAGATCTGGGTTAACATTTATTTAGTAGCACGGTAACCTTGGGCAAGTCACTTAACTGGCCTATGCTTCAGCTTCTTCAGCCGAAAAGTAGGAACAGTAACTTCTATATCATGGAATTATTGTAAAGGTTAAAATGAGCAAATGTATGTCTAGTGTTCCTGTACTAGCTGACATATCCTAAGTACATGGTTAACATTTGCTAATACTACCTGTGAGATGGAAGGAGGAATAAGGCATTCAGGGGAAAGTCAGAAGAGGCAGTGTTGGGCAGACACAGAGAAGGAAGTTCCAGGATGGGAAGCAGGCACTTTGCAAGAGACGGCCATGGAGGCTGGAGGGGATAGCAACAGGAAGCAGCTCCCCTGGCAGGGGTGGGAGGTGTGCAAGGCGACACCTAGGGACCACTCTCCTGGTGTGGCAGAGGGAGTGGGATAGGGCAGCCAGGGCAGGGCTTGGGCTCCCTGTCCCACCACCTCCAAAGCTGGCCTTCCTTCCCTTTCTGTAAAGCAAAGCAGGCCATGGCCCCTACGGTGCCGCCACAGCCCCTCACAATCAGCATGCCAGTCTGTAGCGGCTGCTGGGGGAGAGGAGGTACTCACTCCTGCCCATAGTTTCTGCTCCTCCTTCCCTTGCCTGTCCCATATCCCCGGGGCACAGCAGATCCTGAACCTGGGCTCTGGCCTTCGCCTTTATCTTCTCTACTCACAGAGATAATTAAGAATGATCTGCTAATTATGCAGGCAGCTGATGGAATGCTTCCTCACCTTGGGAATCATCAGGTGCCAATCAGAGAAAAAGGGAGGGAGAAAGAAAAGGATGGAGGAAGGGCCAACAGGAAGGAGGAAGTGAAGAAAAGGGGAATGTGTGGGGAAGGTGAAAAGAAGGGAGGAAAAGGAGGAAGGGGAGAAGAGGAAAAGGGAAGAGGTAGGAAGTAGAAAGGCAAAAGAGAACAGAAAAAGCTTTGGAGAGAAAATGGACCCTTTCCCAAAAGGAATGAGTAAGAGGGGGGCTGTAGCTTTCTGGGGGTGGGGGACTGATCAAAATGGCAAGTGACAGCATCCCAAATTCCACACGCTTAATCTGTCCAGCTCCTCTTCCCTATGCCACTGCAACACCCTCTGCCTTGTCATCTAAGTCATGTGAAGCAGGTGACATTTCTGGGCAATTATTTTGGGGCCTGTCTTCTCCCAGGTGAAGATGGGAGCAGGTGAGGGCCAGAGAGATCTGCTGGGCAGGAAGAGAAGCCAGGGACGGGGCTGGAAGGAGCGGCTCCAGGAGAGCCTGAGAAGGTACTTGTCATTCTCTCCAGTCTCTGCATGGCTCCCACTGCGGCAGAGCAGGAGGAAGAAAGCCAGCTTGGAATGCTAATTTTCCATGAGCTCACCTACCTGCGGAACTGGGCGCAGGCTCCAGTGGGGCTGAGAGGCCTGGGCCTGAAACTGGAGGAGCAAGGGGGTGGAGGGATAGAAAGTGTCTCTTCTCTGCAAGGTTTACATGCAGGAGGAACAGGTTTAAGGGGTGAGATTTCCAAGCTAGGGTAACATCCCCACTACAAAAGCCCACGATAAATGAAAAGCCTGTGCTTGTTGACTGCTGCAGGATGGGGGCGGAGGCAGGAGGAGGAGGCTAGGTTTAGGCACTCCTCAACCACTCCCAATCATCCCTGACTCCTCCCTTTCCTTCACCCTCGGTCCCATTATGCCATCATGTCCTGTCATTGTTCCCTTTGAAATGTCTCTCATCCAGCCCTCCCTGCCTGCAGCTTCCCTGGACTGTGGCCTCATCCTTTTCACGTCCTGACCACGGTAACAGCTTCCAGGGTGTCCCTGGAATCCACTTTCTCTCCCCTTCTTGTCCACTCTATGACGGCCGCCTAACGAACCTTCCCAAAACTCTGTCCTATCATTCTCTGCTTAAGAACCTACCCAGACTCTCTAAAACCCCTGGATCAAGCTAAAAATCCTGTCCTATTTGGAGATGTCCTCATGAACCCCAACAGACTTATCCCAACTCTTCATTCGCCCACACTCCTCCCTCCTACTCCTCCGCTATAGAGCACTCCCAAGGCACTGTGGAGAACACATAGAAGCAAGCTCCCAAGGGCACACGATCAGAGGGGGAAGCGAGGCCCACAGGCCCACAGCAAGTTGACTTTTCGCACCCTGTTCTGTTCTGTAGTGGAGAAGCTGACTATGTAGAACAGGCAGCAATGTCTATACTCCGGGAGCCAGGCTGCACCATGTTCCAGACACACTGTGCTCCAAGCCTTTGGCACCCATTTCCAGACCCCACCAGATGGCCTGCAGGCCCACATTCCCAGCCCTGCCTAACCACAGTCTGTCCTTCCTGTGGCCTAGTTCATGCCCCTCTCCTTCAAGAGGCTGTCCCTAACCATGTACAGTAGGCATGTGTTTTTCCTCACTAGCATCTACTTCCTCCTTATTCAAGTAACAGCCTCCTTTCCACTGCAGAACCTATCACTCCCACAGGCTCAGTCCCTGCACTTAAGATGCGACTAAACCCAGAGCTTAGGGTAATGCACGTGACTGAAGTCTAAGCCAGTCAGTGTGTCACATCCCTTTCACCCCAGCAACTGACTGTGGGACAGACAGGAGAACCAAGCTAGGCCAATGGGTGAGTGAGACTTCTGAGAGAATGCTGGACCTGAACCTGAATGTAGGAGCTCTGGCCCTACTGGTTGTGACCTTGCCACCACAAGAGCAAGACCTGTCTGGGAATGGAGCCAATACAGAGGCAGTGAGCCGGGACGGAATGAAAGCCAAACCAGGTCCTGATGACATCATTTACACTCTTCAGCTCCAAAGCCTGCTCTACTTGCTTAAACTGGTTTTGGGGATTCTTTTGAAAATATGCTATTAATCCTTACTTATTTCTCTTTTCTCTAGATCCTGAGAAGCCCATGTGGTTCATGCTATGCAATTAAGAATCACCTGAGATCTACTGCTCTCCTATTCCAAACTAAGATCTCTGAGGATAGGATCCATGTCATATATATCTTCAGTATCCCTCAGGGTCCAGCAAATTGCACACACAATGGGAGACCAACAGGATGACTCATGTTTTGAGGGCCTCTGAGAGACATCCTCCCCTTCCTGGGCCACTTAAAAGGCCCATACCCACGCTCAATCAACTCATCATCCCTCCCCAGGAGATGGCTTTCCTGCCCTCTCCTCATCCCATGAAACTGTTTATAGGTATCAAATACCAGGAAGGGAAAGTAAAGTATGCTAAAAATCCAACAACTCTCTTTAGAAAAAGGCAAGCAAGACTGTAGTCACAATCCTGGTGAGGAAACACAAATATTTCTGGTTTTTAACATCCATTTCAATCACTAGGCATGGGGTGGCCATAATCCAGGACTGACAGCTCTTACAGGCCTGTGTCCTCTTGCTTATGTGTTCCTTGGGCATATTTAGCACAACAGTAAGTATAAAAGGGGCACCTAACACTTTCTACAAATACTGAGAGCTGGTTGATGGAGGAGCACCGTTAGGCAGCAAATATGCAGAGATGATATTAAGAGTGAACATTTACTGAATGCTTACTCTATGCCAGGCACTGTAATTCCTTTGCAAGTTTTAATTCATTTAATGTTTATGACAATCCTATGAGAAAGGTTCCATTATTATCATTATATTATAGATGAGAACACTGAAGTTTAGAGAAGTAACTTGCCCAAGGTTACAGAGCAAGCAGATGGGGAGGCAAGATGGAGCCCAGGCAGTCTGCTCAAGTCAACCCCCTGAACCACTTAGCACCACCCAACCCCTGGTTACATTTATATACTGGACAGGCTTCGGGCAGGTAAGTACATCTGTGGGCAGGTAATAGGCAGAAAAGTCCAGAGTATCTGGTGTTTATACCAAGTCCAACTGAAGACAACGACCCCATTTTCTGTTCCCATTGGGGATGGCCTTAGGAAGAGGTGGACTCCCAACTGGTGAGGAGGAAGAGGTTGCCTAGTGACGCAGCAGGGGATTCCTGGACTGGGGTACAAGCAGAGGAGGGTGGGGGATGACTTGGATCACCAGAGGAACCTGAGTCAGGCAGTCAAATACTTCATGCTAGGTGGGATAAAAACGTCCCTATGTGAGGCATGGTGTGGGAACCCAGGAAGGAGAAAAGCTAAGCGCATCTCAGAGAAAGACAGGATTCGTATACAGGAGAAAACCTGAGACCTTTGTAAGGAAACAGTAAACACCATTCATTCATGTTAAATAAACACTGAGTGAAAATCATTATAGCCCAAGGACTGTGCTAGATAAGCACTGGAGATACACAGAGCTGCCACCCACCACCTCAAAATCATCAGTGACCTCTAAAGCCCCACCTCCTCATCAGCCCCATGAGCCCCCTTGCCCCTCGTTCTTGCTCCAGCCACACTGGCTTCTATTCAGGTTCTTCTTACCTCAGGGCTTTAGTTCATGTACTTCGTTCTTTCTGAAACATTCTTCTTCCCCACCTACCCACTCATGATAACTCCCACTCACTCTTCAGATCGTACCATAAATGTTTTTCCTTCTGTGACCTCCCCCCGCCCCGCCCCAGACAGAGTCAGGCCTCCTGTTAATAACTCTCATAGCACCTTATCTATCATAGATAAGGTGCTATGAGAGTTATTAACAGTTATTATTAGATAGAGAGACAATAAGAATTCGAGTCTGGAGCCACAATACCTGGGTGTGACCTCTGGCTCTGCCACTTGGGCAAGTTTCTTAGCCATTCTGGGCCTCAGTTTCTTCACTGATTGGAGATAACAGTAGCTCCTCACAAAGTTGTTGTGAGGCTTAAATAAGTTAATGCACTTCAGATCAATGGTGGTACAAGGTTAATACTATATAAATATTAGTTATTACAAAATTATTTAAAATAGATCTTATCACAATTGTAATTAAATAACATGCAATTGATAATGACAGTTTATCTCTCCTGCCAGAGTTTATCCTTTAGTTGGACAGGGATGCTGCCTCACTCATCGCTAGAAATAAAAAGAGCAGTAGCACAGTGCCTTCCACACAAGAAGCACTGAATATGTATTTGCTGACTGTAGGAACAAATAAAGGAATAGGGCCTCCCGGTGGGAGGAAGATCATGAGTTAGTAGAGCAGTACCACCACTGGAGCCTGTGGGATCCACAAGGAACCTGAGGCTAAGTGGGACAGTAGGTAGCTCTTAAGAACACTTATGAGAATTAGCTTCTAAGCTGGGCCCTTGGGCACAAGGAAGCCGGCTGGATCCCCCCAGGGTTAAGAATCGCCAGAAGGGCTGCTCCCAGAAGGTGCTTTCCTGAGAAAAGGAGAGAAGAATGCCCAGGGCGGGGGTGGCCGCTGATCAGGTAGGTGTGGATGGCAGCACCCACCTGCTAAAGATGTCTCCAGAGACCTTCTGTAGGTACTGCAGGATATCTGCCACCTGCTGGATGGCCTCCTCTCGCCGCAGTTCTGGCTGGATGAAGGGCACTGAGTAGGTCTGACCTGCCAGCGAGTGCTGGGTCCTCATGGGAGTCATGATGCCTGTGGGTGGGAACCGGAGCATCAAGACTGCCCCACACTCACCCACCCCACCCACCAGAGCACAAGGTACCGAGAGAAGAGAGCACAGCCCCTCACCCCAACTGTCAGCCTGTACAGCAGGAGCCCCAATCCCAGTGCCAGTACAGGTCCCTAGCCTGTTAGGAACCTGGCCGCATAGCAGGAGGTGAGCAGCAGGCGAGAGAGAGCGAAGCTTCATCTGTACTTGCAGCTGCTCCCCAGCATTAGCATCACCACCTCAGCTCCACCTCAGATCATCAGGCACTAGATTCTCATAGGAGTGCAAATCCTACTGTGAACTGCACGTGCAGAGGATCTAGGTTGAGAGCTCCTTATGAGAATTTAACGCCTGATGATCTGAGGTGGAGCTGAGGTGTGATGCTAGCACTGGGGAGCAGCTGCAAATACACATTAACATTAGCAGAGGTTGACCACTCAGACCATAATAAATCAATTGCTTGCAGACTCATATCAAAACCCATCAGTGAGTAGCAAAAGACAATTAAGCTGCATCTGGTGGCAGGCTTTATAGTAGCAAGTAAGTTGATGTACTTTAATTATACAGCTGCTTCTGGTGGCATCTGATTCTGCATTATGGTGAGTTATATAATTACATATTACAATGTAATAATAATAGAAATAAAGTGCACCATAAGTGTAATGTGCTTGAATCATCCCGAAACCATCCTCCCACCCCCCACTCTCCAGTCCATGGAAAAACTGTCTTCCATGAAGCTGGTCCCTGGTGCCAAAAAGGTTGGGGACCGCTGCTGTACAGGTGGGGAACTGGAGACAGAGCATTTGGTAGGAGGCCAGGAGTGCACAGGAGCTGGTCTTCTGCTGCTTACTAGGTGAATGAGGGAAATGTGTAGCGACAACAGAGGCCAATGAGAAGGGTTCAGAGAAAGTATAACAGTGACTAACCCCGTAAGGTGCTTGGAACCCTGTTAGACACTTTCATCATATATTATCTCATTCCGACCTCCCAAGCCTGGATGAACAAGAAACCCTGGTTGCAGAGTGAAAAATAGCCTGCAAGCAGAGGGGTGGATTTGGGGGGAAAAATGCCTCAGTCAACCACCAAATGGTACCTGGGTCTGGAAAAGCCTGGTTTCTTCTAACTTTGGTCCCTGCGGAACTCAGGCCAGGCAGTGGCTAGTGACTCTAGGTATGGGAGTCTGGGCTCTGCTCACCCAGGATGGAGCTAAGCAGGGCCAGAAGGAAGGAGGGGCATGTGCGGCAGGAAACGGGAAGGAAAAGCACTCCTTTGACTTGCAAGACAGGGCAGAGTCTATTTATACTGGGTTTAATTAACTCCACTCCCTGGTGCCACTAAAGCGGCAATCACACTGCAGACGGCACTGATTTGATTGGCAAGAGATGTACCAAGCAGAATATTAAGGCACCGGGCCCCTATAAATAGGCCTAATCACAGTCCCCTAGTAGAAGATGGTGAGGAAGACACTAATCAGCCTGGCACTGTGCCCCAGACCTGTTTTCCTAGGCACAATGTCAGTGTCCCTGGTTGCACCACAGGTGCGGGTAGGGCTGGGTAAGTGTAGCAGGGAGGGCTTTGGAGGCTTTATTTGGGCTTAAAGTTCTATGTGACCTTGGGTAAGTTGCTTGCCTTCTCTGAATATCTGATTATACTTCTCATTCTACAGACTGAGAATGGCACTGCTCTTAAGTAGTTATTCTCAATGTTATCACATCACACCAACATTTTCACCAAGCAAGTGCTTAATCCTTTGCTCCCTCTGCTGGCTTCCCTACTAGCCCTTCCTTCTACCCTGCTTGTTCTCACCTACCCTTGCCAGGACAGCCACTTTTTGTTATCCAAGGTGACTGTCCTGCTCTCCCAACTTGTTTTCCAGCAGTGACATCCTCAGCTTCTCAGACCTGAGCCTGCTTGAGTCCTCAACAGGGCCCGATGTTACTCCTAACCTCCTCGCTTCTCTTCCCTATCAAATGATCAAAGTGGGGCCAGAAGATCCCTAACTATCTGGAGAACCTAACCCTCTGAGACCCACCCCCCAGTCCTTTCAAGGAGAAATCCACTTCTTTGTATTTATATTAATGCAAATGTGCTGGCCATCCTAACTTAGTTCTGTACTTCAGTTTTCCCATCTGTAAGATGGGGAGGGAATAAAAGGTAAAAGACACTTTTCTGTGCACATCTTGAAATGCTTTCCTCATGGTTATTTACCACATCTGTGTATGTGTATACCCATAAAGGGGTAATTCAGACACAAATCTCCCCAACAAGTAAGTAGCAGGTCCATTCTAGAATTAAGAGACTGAGTACAGTTGACTGGTGATTTACTCATTCTGTCTGTAAACATGTACTGATCAACTATTAGGTGCCAGCCATAATCACAATAATGATGAATAGGACACTATACTAGCCATGGACACAACCTCGAGAACAATTAAACGGCATGTGATAAGTGTTCTAATCCAGCCATAAGTACGGTAATAGGTGAACACTGAGGAAGGAGTGATAAACCCCTCTGGGGTTAGGGGTTCAGGAAAAGTCTCTTAGCAGTAGCTATACCTCACCAATGGGCCCAGGTAGAGCATTTCAGGTAAAAGAACAGATTGAACAACAGTATATAGGGGAATGGCAAATGGTCTTGATTGCCGAGGGTATAACCATCCTTAAGCAAGTAGCAGGAAAAAGAAAGCTAAAGAGAGGCCAGATTATGAAAAACACTGACTATCACCGCAAGTTTAGATTGAAATCCTCAGACCTGTGCAGTCCAACATGGCAGCCACTAGCTACATGCAGATATTGAGCAGTTGAAATGTGGCTAGTCTGAATTGAGATGTAGCATAAGTGTAAAACAAACATCAATTTTAAAGACTTAGTAGAAAATAAGAATTTATCTCATTAAAATGTTTTACAGTTCTCCCTTATTCTCAGGGGGTGGGAGGGGAGGTACACTCTAAGATCCCCAGTGGATACCTGAAACGGCGGATAGTACCAAACCCTATATATGTTTTTCCCTATACATACAAACATATGATAAAGTTTAATTTATAAATTAGGCACAGTAAGAGATTGATAATTATAAAATAGAACAATTATAACAAGATCTATAATAAAAGTTATGTGAATGGCTTTGGGTCATTAAGCAAAATGAGGGTTACTTGAACACTAGCAGTGCAATACCATGACAGCTGACCCCATAACCTAGTCAGCTACTGACTAAGGGATGGGGAGTGTCTACAGGGTAAATATGCTGGACAATGGGACGATTCACATCTGAGGCAGTACTGAGTGGGACACCCGCGAGATTTCCTCACACTACTCAGAACTGGGTGCAACTTAAAACTTACGCGTTTAGTTCTGAAACTTTCCATTAATACTTTCAAAATGTGGTTGATCCCAGGAAACTGAGAACACAAAAATCAAAATCACGGATAAGTGGGGGACTATTGTACACTGATTATATGCTGAAATATTTCAGCTATACTAAGTTAAATATATTACTAAATTAATTTCAGCTGTTTCTTTACTTTTAAAATCACTTATGTGGCTCACATATTTCTAATGAACAGCACTACCTCAGAGAATCAGGTAAAAACTATGGAAGCTTTCACAAAAATGAACCCATACCGTACCAGACTCTCATAATGCTATTTACAATTTGCGAAGTGCATGACATCCTTCCTGCAAACTTTCCCCAAACAGCCAGCTCTCAGGGTCTATACCTCAGGTCAAACATCTGCTGTAGGCAAACAGTGTGGGGGTCACATAAGAAGGGCCAGAGAGGTAGGGGCAATGACCCGCCTCAGTGAGGGATGGGAGGTGCAAAAGGTCTGAGGATCCAGTACAGCCCCGAGGGTGGAAAGGCACGTGAGGGTCAGGGGGCGGAGTGAGAGAGGAAGTGGAAGGCTGCGGCCTGGAGCCCCGAGTCCGGTTGGCAAGCAAGGCCCTCCTCTGTCCAGGCCTCGGCCGCACTCGGGGAA